TGGGTTGGGATGTTTTCGTGATGCACACTTTCTTTGCATAAAACTCTCTCTTATACGTGAGTTGCTGTGGATTTGTTTCTCCAAAGTACCCAGACTAATACAGATACATACACCAATTCAAGAGTTTTAGCATGAACAGCTCAGGGACATTGATTACATTCTTTTTGGTTGTCCAATCATCTCTCTCTCCTTCTGAGTTGCTCCTCCCCGTGAACGTACGCTCCCTTGACCCCTAAGTGCCCTAGCTAACATTTCTGTTGCCACCGTCAATTTGCTCCCAGAGATAGATCTGGAAAGAGTACCACATCCGGGGCAGATGTTCTTTCCGAGTTAAACTAAGCTCTTGTGTAGTACTGTGAAGATGGCGGGGGATATTTTTGGTTCAAGATACAAAGATGATCTCGGGGTAATTGTGTGAGGGATTCATCCAGCCTCTATGGATCTAGAAACTCTGGATTCCATGAGAACCAGAATGTTTTCTTCTGTGTCTTCCTCCTCTTGATAAAGCATCTTTGATCAAAATGTTCAGTAGCCGTAGCCTGGCACCTTATACACCGCCTAAGAGGCAGTTGTTTGTGGAGGCCATTAGCCACATGTTCCACTGCCGCCGCCTCTTCCCTCTGTTCCTTCTTCCTCTGTTCTCCAGGTGAATAGAGACCAATTGTCTGGGTGATCGGCTCTGTTCCGCCAATTCAAGGCTAGTAGGCTCCAGACATGGGTTCTAGTTCACCCCTATTCTGAGACACCCCAAGCCCCATCCCAGAAACTAACAATGCTGACACCAAGCAGATGTTCCAAGAAAATAAACAATTTGGATTAGAGAGCAGCAGGTTGCCTCCATTATTAGCCCTTTCTACCAACAAGTAGCTCCAGAGCCCAGGGCTGCTTCCCTACCTCGGCGTTGGGTTCCGCATATGCACCTGGTGAAGATTCACTGAGGTGAACAGTTAGAATCTGTGTGCCTGCCTGCATTGTGCTGTATCAGTAAAAAGTTGTCGTTGCTTTCGATCCGATTAGGGTGGAGGTGAGAGATGTTCCTGGAGGCATCACCATTCCCCATGAGCGGGCAGAAAAGGAGAGCTTATTTATGAATTTGTATTGAAAATTCACTTAGGGCAGTGGTTGAGAACCACTGGGGGTCGCAACCCCGTTGGTCTTAGGAACCGAGACACCACTCCTCTATCCATCTCCAGGTGGGTCCACCCACATGAAGATACACCCACAATATTTCACAATACATAACGACATATTGTTTTTGTGATTAACCACTATGTTTTAATTATGCTCAATTTGTAACAATGAAAATACATCCTGCATATCAGATATTTACATGACGATTCCTAACAGTAGCGGAATGACGGTTATGAAGTAGCAATGAGCATAATTTCATGGCTGGGGGTCACCACAACATAAGGAACTGTATGAAAGGGTCACGGCATTAGGAAGGTTGAGAACCACTGACTTAGCATCTTCCCCTCACACTCTCCACTCTCCACTCAGTCCCTCCCATTACAACATTTGCACAAACGGCAAAGACACGCAGGGCAGGGGATGGGAACAAAAGGGAAAGTTCAGGGTCCAAGGATGAAGTAGGTAGATGTTCCTGATTGAATTGTGTCCCCTACAAAATAGGTGTTGGGATCCGAACCCTCTTGGATACAATCTAATCGAATGCAATGAGGTTGCGCCAATGTCGGGGGGATCCTAAGCATAGTTAATGATCTGTTGTACAAAGAACGACATAGACTGAGATAGGTATGCAAAAATAGGGGAAGACAGATGCTATCTGACCGCAAAGGAGGCAGATAAACCTAAAATCTCTAAGGACTGCCAGCTTACTAGGACCTGAAACAGACAAAGAAGGTAGGGTCATACACTGAACTCCAACCTCTAGCGTCTATGGAAGGCAGAAGAACGAACACATCGGCCCTGGAGCAAGGACCACCAGAATGGTCCTGAGCAGTAAAGACGGGAGACTTCATCCTAATCACTCTGGACATGTGATCAGACAAGACCAATCCCGGGGACGTGACCTCATGCTTGGGAAAGCAGAGGGTCCGTGGCACCGAGGGATGCTCGCGATGCGATGGACCGGCACAGAAACTGCAACAAGGAGCTGAAACCTACCAGCAGTCAGGAAGCCAGCGCCGGCCGGCCACCACTCTGTTCAGGTATCTGTCAGGTGGCCGTGAGCTGGAGCCATCCAGCAGCATCCAACAACCACCTTAGGAACCATAAGCAATAAATCTCTGCTCTTCAAAGCCACTCCCTGTGTGGTAGTTTTGTCTGTTACAGCAGCAGCAGGTAACTGAGACAGCGGGTCACAAAGCTCAGTGGGGACAGCAGTGGGTAAAGGAATCTAGGTCAGGTGCAGCTAGAACTGAGCAAGTGCCGCCGGGGAGGCCTGCAGTCCTTCTCACAGCAAGGCCTTCTAGAAGGTAAGCTTCACAACCTCAAGCCCGCAGCAACTCAATCCTTTGACCTGCTCCGGCTTCAAATACCAGGAAAGCAAAACCGGAAGTCAGTGTGTACGTCCAACTCAGACTTTACCCTTTGATCTCTAACTGGCTTCTGACCACCCCCAGCCAAAAAAACTTCGTGTTTTGTTTGGTTTGATTTTTCCTACAGTAAGAGCCACCTCATGTGAAGAGGAAGTTCTTTATGTATGTTAAACTTAGGGGAGCAAAGAATGAATCTGGTCTAGCCTAGCAAGGGTGGCCAGGCATCCTGCAGGCAGCAGTGAACCAGGCAGCTCTGTAGCCTGAGCAGCCTCGCACTTTGGAGAAGGTTGTACCCTGAGTCACTGCTGGTAGACACACACACACACACACACACACCGGAAGCCAGAGGCTCAGCCACAAACAAGGGAAGCCACACTCAGAAAGCTGGGCAGGGGCACACACCTGACTCAGAGGTCAGCCCCCACACTGCTGTATCTCCCTTGAGCTCACGACTGGGTGGGGGGGCGTTTGGGGAGGTTGTAACCAGGAAGAGTCTGGGGTAGTTATAGGAAGAACTTCCCAATCCTGAAAGTCTGGAAAGTGTGGTTCCTTTCCTTCCTGAAAAGACAAGAGAGCTCTGGGCCCCCGGAAAGTCATGGGCATTTCGAATCACCAGAGGGCTGGAAGCTGAGTCAAAAGGCAGACAGAGGTGGGGGGAGAAGTTCGGGCTGGGGGCTGGGCGGAGCTGTCCAGGGATCTCTGCCTGTGGGGAATGGGCCTCCAGGAAAGGGTGGTGGAGGGCTGGGCTTTCACTTCTCTGGCCACGTGTTCCTCTCTCTCTCCAGCCCTTGGAGGGTTAAGGCAAATCCGGGAAAGGGAAATATTTTCCCAGCAGCCCTGCCCCAGTGACTCAGGCCAGAAGGAGGGAGGTGGCAGAGGGGGAGGAAGAGGGAACTAAGTGCTTCCCCAGCTTCTCAAGGGTCTGAGTCAGCATAAAGAGGGAAAAGAGCAGCCAGAAACTAGACCCCAGCAGACCCCTTCCTTCTCTCCCTCTACCCGCTTCCAGAGCCCCGCTTTTCCCTCACCTCCGTCCCCCAGAAGAGCCAAGCAATGGCCCCCCGGTACCAGTTGGCCCCCATATTTCAGGAAATCGCTTCCTCTCCCCTTGATCCCAAAGGGAAGTCTCCTTCGACCCCTGGCTTCCTCCCACCAGTCACAATCCAGTTCTGGGAGGTCCACAGCATCCTTCCTTTGGGCTTGGCCCCGCCCACTCTGTGCCTCCTGCTGGTCCAACAAGTCACTTGCTGACAAACTCATTCCCAGGGCTCTTGCACCAGGCCCTGGCCCCCACCCTGGGATCACCACATTCCCACAGCCTGGGGGCTCTGGCCCATTGGGGTGGGTTGGGGGGGGGGTGTCGGTGGGGAGGCAGGCCTCCCTGGAGTCTGACGAAATAAGGCCAGTTCTGAGAGTCCACAGTCCCTCCTCCAAATCCACTGGCCACACAAGGAACGCTCTTGAACCCTAAACGCCCAGTTCCAGGAAGAAGCCAGCATGAAGGGCCTCACAGCGGAGCCCAGAGCGGTCCTGCAGCCAGCCCACCCTGACCTAAGAGCCAGCACCCATCCCTTAAGAGTTGCTAAGGTGACAGGATCTTTTTTTTAAGTCATTTTATTGGGGGCTCTTATAACATTCCATACATCAATTGTATCAAGCATATTTGTACATATGTTGCCATCATCATTGCCAAAACATTTTCTACTTGAGCCCTAGGGATAAGCTCCTCTTTTTTCCCCCTCCCTCCCCAACCTTGCGAATCCTTGATCAATTATATATTATTTTTATTATCCCGTATCTTACACTGTCCGTTGTCTCCCTTCACCCACATTTCTGTTATTCATCCCTGGGGGTGGGGGGCT